TAGGATCATTAGTAAATTAAGAAACTTTTTCAAAAAATTTTAACTAACCTCATGTTAACGCCGATGAGCGGAATTGATCTAAAGATTTTAGAATAGTGTTCTTTAGATTTACTATTACGGGTAGTAAAAAGGTTTTGAAAATTATATATAAAAAAGAAAAACTTCTTTAAATTTTTTAAAAACCTTAAGTAAAAAAAATTATAACATTTAAAGATCTTGTTTGGACATAATATGCTGACAAAACCATGCTAATTCCAAATAAAAGTATTCAAATATTTTGTAAATCGCCCTAACTATACCGAGCATGACGTTTATTTAAAACTTCGTGACAATCAATTAACACAATGTGATTTTGAATTAAAACATTTAACGCATGCGCAATCTCAACATTCCATATTATTTGAAAAACTCAATCTGAATCCTCATGCCGCGAAATTTCGTTTCCCAAAACATGCGAGATCTTGTTGTAAATCTAGTCGTTGATCAAGGAAAAACTTAATCTAAAGCTTTATCGTTAACAGGAGTTAATCGAAACACAATACAATCAATTTTAAGAAGGTACAATCGAACGAATTCAACACTTCCTGGTTCTAAAGGTTGCGCTCGTCACGTTATTTATAATGAAGAGATTAGAAGAAGAATTGATGAGCTTATAAACGATTATACAACGACAACTATAATTGAAATTAAATAAGCTTTAAATGTAAATGTATCGATTAAAACTGTCTGGAGATAGGTGACCAGGTGATATGTCTTGGATACACATTTAAAATAAATCGACCAATTTATGAAGAAGAAACGACAATGATGTAAAAAATCTTTGTATTGAATATGTTAGGTGGTATACTTCAACCTTGCCTATTAATCGCTATCGAAATTTTGTTTTTATTGATGAAAGTACATTTAATTTACACATGTTTTGCAGTCATTCATGGGCAAGAAGAGGAGTAACACCAAACCTGATCATTCGCCCTAGGTAGCGTAACATTTCGATGATATTGGCCTCGATGGTTTAAATATTACTCACAACGAAGCTGTCAGTGTGTCAGTCAACACAGTTTTGTTTCAAGAATATATTGCTAAAGTTTTAAGAGTTTTAAGGAAGAATTTACCCTGGTGATGGATAATGTCATAATCTATCATAATGTTGAGATGAGGGCTCAGAACATTCAAACAAAATATTTGCCACCATATTCACCATTCTTGAATCCGTGTGAAGAAAGTTTTTTTTTATCTTAAGAATAACGTGCGAAAAAATACGGCCCCAGCTTGAAGAAATGAACTAATTACGAGAACGCGTGAGGCATGCTTATCTATTCCTAATGTTAACCTATCAAACTATTATAGATCTATATTGAGTTCATTCCGATTGCATAAACTTATGACATCATCTAGAAAAGGGTGCTTAGCGGTTTGGTTTTTAAACTGCGAGTTTACAATACCAAAGGTTGTTTTATTGCTCAATATGCGAATAAATAAATTTAACTTGTTTTGCTGTACGATTTTTGATACATCTTGGATGTAAAACAAAAAATGAATATAATTTTTGAGAATGACAACAGTTTTTACTTTTTTTTGTTTTGCATTAAGTTCTCGAGAACTTAATGCAAAACAAAAAAAAAAGTAAAAATTATTGTCTTAAAAAATATGTTTCCTAAATGTGATTTTCAAAGGTTAAGCTATGCAATTGAGTTCTGGAACTCATTGGAGCAAAGGAACATTTTCAAAGATATTTTTGAAGTGTATATTCCAAGATAAACTCGTTTCTTTTCAAAAATGTATCTTTATAATAATTTACCTTGTATTATATACAATGGGTGATAAAAATAAATATAAACAAATAAAAAATACATATATATTTAACTTGTTTCCAGTTTTTTTTGTTTTTCACAAGATACACAGCAACATATTTGTTCCGGTAGATAAAAAAATGAATCAGCGAAAAAATCATGGTTTTTACATCCATTTAAAACAATCATGACATCCATTTAAAACATGGATGTCATGATTGTTTTAAATGGATGTCATGATTGTTTTAAATGGATTTTTCTGTGTTTTGAAACATTGAAGATTGACTTAAGTAAATTCCTTCCTATTATATCAAGTGTTTGCATTAATGCGTCTTTATAATCGCAAAGTTCTAGGTCATACGTAAGTGTCGGAACCACCAATGTTTTATATAGCTGGACAATATAGCTTAGATAAGCAAAGCGGATTCAAGACTGAATAAGAGTTTGAATTATTGCCCTGAATTCTGATATTCTATTATCAATATTTGAACAATTAAGTGAGGCAAAAGTAGAGCTTTTAGTATCCCAAAAAAAAACCTAGATGATTAAGTTTGTCATCCACATTTATTTGTACGTGGTCGAATTTTATCGTGCAGTTTGCACGATAACAGTCGACCACCAATAATATAGTGTATATATTACAAGCTGCTATAAGCTTTTTAATTCCAGACATGGTAGAACTAAAAAGTATGATGTCATCAGCGTATGCTACAACACCTCTGTAATTTCCATAAATTGATGTCCCTACGATACATTTTGTATGGTTTCAAATAGGCTTTGAATGCGGCTTGGGGTAGTGTTAATAAAAGTAAATTAGAACCTCTTCATCGCCAACAGAATTATACTACACGCCTTTTTAATTTTAAAGACCGTTTTGCACATACTAAGCCTCTCTTTATTGAAATGAATATTTTAAATGTATTTCAACTAAATGTATTTAATGTACTGTGTTTTATGTTTAAATGTAAAAATCGTACAGCTCCGGTTTCTTTTCACAATTTATATTCCTCAAAAGAAAAAAATAAGTATTATTTACGAAATGATTTACATTTTTCTCAAGACTGGAACTTACATTTAAAAGAAAATTAAAAAATATTATTTTCTCTACTGAAAACATACTTGTATATTTTTAATTTTATTTACTTTGATTTATTTATAATGTTTATACGAATTCTTATATCTAAAATATTTATTTGATCACATACTTGTATATTTAAATTTAGTTTTGTTAACTTTGTTTTGACTGGCTTGTGTAACATGTTGGTTTATACATTTTATATTATTCATTTTGCATTTTATATTTATTCAAAACGTTAATTTTTACTTCTAACTTTTATTTTAAAAACTTTGTTAGACTTTGTTTATTTATTTTATATATATTACGAAACTGTTTTTAAATACGAAATGATTGTCAGTTGTAAGCGGTTCTTGATGACAAGATCATAAGATCTTCTGCTAGTCTCCGCGTTCTTCTTTTTTTATATTTAACAAAAGCTGTATTTTTTATTTGTATGCCTTTCTTATTTAAAAAAAAAAAAAGTAACAAACCATATGAAAAAAACAACGATAATAAGATGTATCAAGATTAAAAAATAAAAATTATTTGTATAAGTTACATCTGAATAACTTTTTTATGACTTATTTTGGCAAATAATTTTCATTTATAAGTAACTTTTTTATGTTAATTACTTTTATTTGTAAAAATAATTTTCTTTTACTACGCACTTTTAAAATCAACTCTATATGATTATATTTTAGATTCAATTTAGTTATTATTATTTAGTAATTGCATTTTAATTGTATATATATTTTAATTGTAAAATATATTTAAAATATTTTACATTTAAAAATGACTTTTTTACTTAAAGGAAGTAAAAGTTCTATCCCTAATTTAACCTGAGCCCATGATTTTGTTAAATCATGTGTATTAGCTCTTGTAGGTCTATTACTATTTTTAGGATTAAAATAAGTTTTGAGGGTTTTTTGTAGGCAAATAATTCTAAAACTTTTCTTTGTTCTAAAAATATGGCAACTTACAAATGCAAAATTCCATAAGTAAATCACAAAAATTATATACAGTGATATGTAATTAAAAATGTAAATGTATACTTAGAAAAAAGTCAAAACAATTAGTGATATGAAAAAGGTTTTTAAATACTTTAGACGGTTTGTACATAATGGTTTATAAAGAACTAAGATATAAATTAGAAATACCTATCGACAATATGTATATATATATATATATATATATATATATATATATATATATATATATATATATATATATATATATATATATATATATATATATATATATATATATATATATATATATATATATATATATATATATATAGGCCTTGGCGGAAGGAAATGAGAGCGAGAGTGGAGAAAGCTCTTGACATTGGCAGTTGTTCCAGAATACAGGGTAAGAAAAATTAGAGAATCCTTTGGAGATTGACAAAGCAAGAGTTCGATATGAATCATCTTTTCATTAAAATCACCTTATATATTATAAACATATCGTATAACAAGAATATGACTTTATATATATATATATATATATATATATATATATATATATATATATATATATATATATATATATATATATATATATATATATATATATATATATATGTATATATATATATATATATATATATATATATATATATATATATATATATATATATATATATATATATATATATATATATATATATATATATATATATATATATAGAAGCCTTTAGCTTCCACTCCTTTAAAAAATGCCTAATTTTCCTAAAAGAAAATAAAAATATAAAGAAAATGCTCTTCTAAGGATTTTTTTCAAGGTACGATTTTTAACACTTGTTATGCATTTCTGGTAACATTCTGTTAACATTTACAAGCAAATGCTTGTAACAAGATTAAAATTAAGTTTTGTATTTAATAAACAATGTATTTTGTAAAAAAACCGATAGCTAGCCCAAAAACCGATAGCTCTTGCAATATGTTGTTTAGAGTAGCAGCTCCGCTCTCAGACTGTGTGTATATTAGATATATATACACACGCACCCTTTATAGTTGTTATAAAAATGTAAATATATATATAAAGAAACAGATATTTGGAAACCAAAAAAAATTATATATAAAAACCTTTTGTTTTCATGGTCCAGTTGGAGATATCTAATAAGTTATTTATTTCGGTAGCTGAAGGTTTTGCTAGCCTAATGTTTGATGTTTTTCTTTTTCTTTTGTTGAATAAAACGTTGGCTGCTTAGTTATTGTTTTGTATGATGGAACCTTACTTTTGATATGTAATTCATTTTGCTTATTTGTTGTTAGGCTTAAGAAAGCATTTTTAGCTAATGATATATTTTTCTGTAATGTCTGCAAACTATCCTCATCTGATATTGAACTAAGGGATACTAAATTAGCTAGATTCTTTAAACTTTTAATAATGCTATCTTTTAAAATGTTAATATCTGCAGGTTCACAACCTTTTATAATTTTGCAGTCCAATTCAATTAAAGATGTTGGGAAATCGAGAGGTATAGTTGTTGTAAGTATACTAGGATTACTATGACGATGCACTAAATGGATATGCTTACAAGGGATATTTTTAGTTAAGAAATCCATACAGTCACAACTATATAAATGAGTACAAACTTTACATTCTGGACATTTAGTGAAACACTCAGTGATGTCACACAATTTTTGGTGTATTACAACTCTGTAATGGCAAGCATTTGTTTCAGATGATATTAGCCAGGCTCCTTTATCAACCTTAGTAAAACTTTCACATAGCTGTAGGCTTGCAATGTGTCTAGAATGCACCATTTTTAATTTATAGCTAATCTTTCCTTTTGTTAACTTTATTATTCTTTCATACACTTTGTCTCTGTTAAACTTTAACAAAGCGAACAAGCAATTATCAATTCTTTTATTGTGCTTACCTTGCAGGTAACTGTACTTAAAAACTTTGTGGAAAGATTCAATATACATATTAGTATTTATGCCATGACCCATACGATAACAGAATACCCATATATGTTTATTATTAACCCAATATTTTTCAAAGTATTCAGCAAACATTTGTGTCAAAATTGATGATTGCAAGTAACCCATCAATGAGTTTAAATAATCATCAAATAGGTTTTTATCATTAAGCTGAAAAACAAATCTTATTCGTTTGTATATATCTGCTTCCATTTCAAGATTGTGTACTTTTTTATGCAATTCTTTTCTCCATGCTTTATCAACATGCCAGGTACACCAGAGTTTCAGAGGCGCACATAAGTAAACATCACAAAATGCTTCATAGTATTGGGATGCCAAATCACTCATTATCCATTTTGGACAAAAACTTCCAGAATGTTCTTGTAATTTTATAAAAAAAAATTTTTAAATCTAAATGAATCACTGTTTGCTATACACCATCCAACAGGTTGCCCCTCACCTAATTCATCTACAACTAACATTGATGTGAGAAGAAAATCATATGCATTTGTGCCATGCGTAGAATCAATACAAACACCATTTTTTCCAAACTGTTGCAGCATTTTTTTTTGGTGCTCTGTTTGCATTATAATTATAAAGTCTGATTCTTTAAATGTATTACATGTATCTAACACACCTTGTAGTTTATAATATAAAACAGGACTATTTGCCTTCATTTGCGATTCTTTTAGCCAAATTCCAACACTGTCTTGATCATTGGCATGAAGTTGTATAGAATTAATGTTGAATGCTTTCTCTAGGTTTTTGATATCTTGACGCTGGGTTAAATGTAACCTGGATTGAACACAACTTGTTTCATCTCTAATATCATTTAGAATTCTATCTTTGGTTACACCCGTTTTAAGTTTGCTAGCAGTTTCTTGCCTTTGAACGCTTGATAGAGAAATATGTTGAATTTCATTTTTATGTCCTTAGTGTGAATAACAATAATATGTCCATCTACAGTTTGGGTAACTTTAAGTGTGGACGTGCAGTTTTTAGCAATTTTTCGAGTACCTATTAAATAGATATTTGTGATCATATAGATTAAAATAGTATTTGTATATCATATATATAATACATAAAATCTGAACATAGGAAAGATAATTAATCATCATCTGTAAAATTTTAAAAGATTTTTAAAACAAAGTGACCTATAGCACACAAAAACTAAACATGTTTAATAGTTTTTAGATATTAACATTAGGTGTTCTAATATTATTTTAAATAAATAATGTATTGAACAAAAATGTCATTAAAAAGTGGTCACTGAATTAAAATTTGTGGCAAATACAAACATTTTTTCTTCTTCTAAATATCGCTATTTACTTGATACATACCACTACTTTTAACTAGTCTTTTCTTTGCCATGCATTTATAAAGTCCACTTCTGTTGCATTGATAGTATGATACTTTCCTACCATCTTTATCAATCTTTTCACCAGAAGGTAAAACATATTGTGTTGCATTATTATTTTCAACATCTGATTTCCACATTTCAAATTCTAAAAAAATTATTTACAAGAATCAAATAATTACTACAAGACAAAAAGAGAGACAATGAATTTGAAAGCAATTGTATAACACCTTATATAAAAAAAAATTCATAACATCAACAGCAACTGGACTTAAAATAAAGGCAATAAATATTTTTTTTTATTTATGTAAGTAATTATATTTGGAACTATTACAAATTCAAAATAATTTTTACGACACATAATCAGTAACAAATTAAAAAAATGACAAAGCGAGAACACAAAAAGTTGGATGCAAAATAAATGGCATATTTACTTTAACCTATTTCTACTTTTAAAAACATTAAAGCTTTACCTCGATAATTAGCAAATGATAATTTTTCTTTCTGAAAAGTATAAAAATGAACTGTAGATAAATGTTTTCTTAAATCCTTAACTCGCCTTCATTTAAATCCACATTGAAGACAAAAAGAATTTCCTGATTGAATATTTTCTTGTGCTTCATCAACTGATTTGTGTTTATTTTTCATATGCCGCAGCATGTTTTTTTTTGGGTGAAAGAGATATTGCAAATTGCGCATTTTAAAGATAAAAAATTGATATTTTTTACACTGGCCATATTTTTTTTATTTAAGTTGGATTCGAAAACATTTGTATATATGACATCTTCATCAGAATTAGTATTACATACCTCAATACTGGTGGAAACTTTCATTTATGTGATACAATTTTCTGATTAATAATTTAACTTTAGTTTAAAAATCATCTGGAGATGACCATCCTAAAGAATCTCCATAGTAAAAATTACCTTCAATACTATCATAAACTGCAAGTGTCCAGTGGCAACCTGCATTTAAATCTGTACCAGAAAATGTTTTCTTGTTGTTTCTCCAACATTTATAATAAAGATCAGCTTTTCAGGGACAACAGTTATTCTTGATGCATAATACTCAATATTTCCTAAAAAGTTAAAATAAATTACCTTTGAATGGCTTTGGATAAAGTTTAAAATGCTAGAAATTTGCAGCATATGATCTGATGAAAGCCATCTAGCACAACATAACTCAGCTAAAGTATTAGGGCTCATCCCATATTCTGATATTTTATTGTTAGCTGGCCTTTTTAAAAAGCACTTCTTTGAATTTTTCAATTAAATTTTGAGAAGGAAAAATACTAATTGATTTTGGCACTAACTTGGAGAATTAAACCATGTTAACTCTTGATCAACTGCTAGCTTCATTTCTTGAACCCTATGAAGAGCTATTAGAAGCTGAACACTTTCATACATGAACTTTCCTAGATTGCATTCTATATAATGGATTCCACTCGCAATATTGTTACGCATAGATAGTTCCATTTCGTTAACTGATGTTTAGGTGGTAAACTTTTAAGAGAAAATACATCATCAGTTATATCAACAGGAGACTGGCTTGTTTTGATAGAATAATCTTGAACAGATTTAATAAACTGTTTCTGTGACTCGTAAGCATTTTGTGGATTATAATTGTTGATCGTAAGGTGATTAAGCTTTAACTTGTTTGAAGACAAGCTAGCAGATGCTTAAATAAAAGTTCTGTCTTTTAGAAGAAGAAAAATTGCACTATATTTAATGAAATAAAACTGTACTAAAACTCACCATTGTTATTGCGTAACTAGAAACTAGTAGCGTGCTCTAACCCATATATAATGTACATTAGGGCAGGTCGATTTTGGAATCAGAGGTTTGGTAATAAAGAGATATGATTATTATGTAAAAAAATGTGCTTTGTAAAACTTTTGTTTTAATGAAGTTTAAGTTGAGCTAAAATGGTTTTAAATATTGATATATTTAATTAAAAAATTTTTTACTACGCCATCTTTCATACAAATTAAAGATTGCCGCGCTTACGCAAAGTAAACAAATCCTATTATTGTGTGGGAAAAAGAAAATTTTAGAGAAAAATTTTTTAGAGAAAAATAATGTTTTCAAACAAGCGTAAAACACGAAATTGCACAAAAAGCAAGTTTGGTGGAAGTCCTAACCTTCTTGCAAATACAGAACCACCCACAAACAGACAGATTATTCAAGATTTTCATTTTCTTAACAATACTTATCCAAGTTATTGCTTTAGCGTAATTGTAAAACTTATAACTGAAAAAATAATCATGATATGAAAAAAAGTTAACACTCGACTACCATTAATGTCCACTTATTGTGTAGAAAAAAAAATCGGAGTACTTCTAAACATATCTAGGTTAATTAACCGAAGTAAGTGCAAAGTATTAACAGAAAAAAACACTTCTAAAAAATTGGATAGGCTTTTTGATATCAGTTCCTGCACATATGATCTTAAAGTTGTTCTTCGTGATGATAAAAATATAAAATGTAGTCAAGATAATTGTCCTGATACTCATATTTTATGCACATGTAGTCCAGATAAAAAAGTACTATCTTATTTTTTAATAATAATTAATAATAGATAAATAAAATAAAAATATTTTTAAATAAAATTAACATAAGTATATTACTAGTATGATAAAGATTAATACTATAAATTTCATATGCAGTTGTTCAATATTATCAAATAATATTTAGATTCCTGTAAAGGAAAGGTTATATTTAAAAGACCAGAGAGAAAAGTCAGGTCCAAAAGGATCATTTCAACTTGGCTCAGTAGATCGTGAATGGTCTAGAAAAGAATCTTTAAAAAAGACATAAAACTGAATATAAAAATGTGGAAGAATCATTACAAGAAGAAAAATTTAATTTACTTCGAGAAATAGTATTACCAGAATCTGATTCAGAATCTGTCATTTCTAGCTCTAGTGAGGTAATTAAATAATAAATTGAAATTTGGTTCACTATTTTATATTTTTTTAAATTAATTTTTTTTTTTTTTTAACATATCACTTTTTTAGATTAAATTTTTTTGTTAATGAACTTCATAACTTTTCTTTTAGATATGGGAGCCTGAAAGAAATCCATCGGGAATTTACAATCTTTGGAAGTTTCCAAAGTTTGCTATTGAATTGGTCAGGAACGATATAGGAAGTTTGATTGGAGCTGCATTAGGAAATGCTCTTATGCTCGATCTATCAGGACTGTTTAATGATCCAGCAATAATATCAACTTTAGTTTTAGACAAATCTAAAATAGACAGACAAAAAAAGTCAGTTGAAGTATTGTCAGACTTAAAATCTGTTGAAAATAACAGAGAGTTTATTTGCCTTGGTGTTGGCGGTAAAATTGATAATGAAACTTTAGTTATAAGAGAAATAAAAAAAGAAGATGGTGAGGTTGTGTTAAAGTGATCAACAGAAAAAGAACATCACATGACTGTGACTAAAGAACTTCTCTCTAACCTTTACAGTTGGGAGTATCTTACTCACAAAGTTTTATCTCTTGTTGGAGCAACAGGAAAAAGAAAGCTCAGTGTCTATATGAAGTTCTTGAAGAGTATGATTCTTTAAACACTCTAAAAGCAGTTTTGGTAGACAATACTTCAACAAACACAGGTCATAAAGCAGGAATGGTTGTGGAGTTAGAGAAAAAAATTAGAAGAAAACTTCAGACTATAGGCTGCAATCTTCATCAGAATCAGCTTCCTTTTAGATCTTTGTTTAAAAAAATTGATGGAGCAACAAATTCACCAAACCATTTTGCTGGACCAATAGGTAAAATGGCAAATATCAATAATGAGCTTAATTTAGTTGTTAATTTTGGTGTTATTATTGACCAAAAAAGATTGTTTTACTTAGTCCGGAAAACAACTTTTTCTCGTTGCCGTATTTAAAAAAAGTTTATGCCTTTGTATGGATAAACATATGTATATATAATATATGTACAATAGGGCAGGTCGAATTACAACTTTTTTTTTATTTAAGTGTTTGGCATTATGGAGATATTTTCTAAACAGTCCAAAAACACATCCTCGAAAATTTTATGAAATTAAAATAGTATCTTCATGAGCGATTTTAGCTTTGAAGTGGGGTCCTAAGGCTTTCTGCGAAACGTTACTGCAGGGTTGTAATATAAATTCAGGACCCAACTAGTTTACATATAAAAAAATAAATAAAAAGCAAAAAGACTAAAAGTTACCTAAAATTAAAGAAAAACAAAATAAAGTACTCATAATCAAAAAAAATTTTTTGTCTATGTTAGATATTAATACTTTAACAAATTGCTTCTGTAAATTCTGATAAAAAAACGCTAATTTCAAATGTAGAAAATTTGTTATATCAGGGATCAGCAACAATTGGATCGCGAGTCTCATGCTACTCAGTTATTTATATTCCGTGGCTCTCCATTCTGTCCAAATTACATAATATTTTGATTTAAAACTATATTTCAAACATACTTAAACTGTAATCCTGCGGCTCTTTTTTTAAAATTATTTAAGGAAGATATATTTTAATTATTTTAGGTAGTGAGAAAAACCTCACTACATAAAATAAGTTGCCGACGCCTGGGTTATATAATTGAATATTTGTAAAATAGAAAACTATCCTAATTATTTCAGATAAGTTAAATTTACCCAATAAGTTAAATTTTAATAATGATTATTGAAAACCTTTGAAATAAGTCTGTCAAAAGATGAAATTATATGAAAGATTTCATAAAAAAAAAAATACTTTTAAAAAGATCTTTTTATTTATTTAGAAATTATTTTAAAAATGTTCAACCACGAGAGGAAATGACTAACTCGAAAGTTATCATACATTTTTGTTAAATTTTATTTTTACATACACAAGTAGCAATAAATTAGTTTTTAAATTATCAAAAAATATCATCATATGTCTCACCATAATAACATTTAGACATAAAACTCTTTCTATGCTTTCTGCTTAGAATTTTCGCTAAAAGATGCTTATGACGTGCTTCCTTTCCAAAAACAGTATGAGATGCCATGGAAACAAGTTGTACAGATCTCTCAACACTCTGTGAATGTGAAGGAAGAGTTGGGAGGTCAATTTTTTCTCCAGACAACAACTTTTCTGCAATCTCTTCATTAGTAAAATTTTGAGTTGTTGCTGGTTCATCTATGTCTTCATCAAAAATATTTATGAGCTTATACCATATATGAGCATCAATGTTAACTTCTGGAATTTTATTGATTCTGCTTATAGCTTGGACATCTTTTTTATTATTTCTAGTATCAAGTAATCTCTGCATTGCTTTTGATCTTATATATACTTCTTCTAACTTTAACATTGAGTGCAAAATATTCTCAGGAAGTAAGCAAAAGGAATTGAACCTTAAGTTTGCTAAGCAAATATCTTGCACCTCTTTTCTCTGGAGCTTGATTTGGTTAATCATAAAATGTATAATTGATGGAGCTTCGTGTAACTTGTTGCTCTTTTTATGGAGGATCCATGTAGGAACATAAACTTGGACAACATAAGTTACCAGAATAATTAGTTGAGAATCAGGAACTACTACTCGGACATATAAAGACATCAACCGGATTGCCAATGTTAACCAACGAGAGTGATTAAGGGGACTAATTTTCCAACTTGAATATTTAACACTCATATTTCCATATATATATATATATATATATATATATATATATATATATATATATATATATATATATATATATATATATATATATATATATATATATATATATATATATATATATATATTTATATATATATATATATGTACATATATATATATATATATATATATATATATATATATATATATATATATATATATATTTATATATATATATATGTACATATATATATATATATATATATATATATATATATATATATATATATATATATATATATATATATATATATATATATATATATATATATATATATATTTATATATATATATATATATATATATATTATATATATATTATTGACCTTCACACACAAAGACACACATACGCACACACACACAAATTTATAGGTACGTACATAAAATTTTTAAACCGTTTATATATAAGACTATTATATAACATTGGAAAGAGCTTTAAATTAGTATTAAAATGGAGAAAATTTCATAAAAAAAGAATGATTCTATAAAAGGTTATTCAAGTTTAAGTATCAAAATTTAACAACAAAGATTACTTAAGAAAACTGCGACCAACAATAAAATTTCACGTTCGGCTAACGGTAGTTTTGTAATAAAACATTTTTGCATTATTTTTTTTCGGGTTTGAATTTTTATTGAATTAAGTGTCAAAGTAGCGAATATAATAATTTAGTTAATCAAAATATTTCTTATGTAAAAAAAAAAAAAAAAATCAAATTAATTTCCTTAGGTATATAACAAATATTGCGAACATCATATAAAAACGATTATGATAATATTGCGTACATTTTAAAGACAAAAATATTTAACAGTAAAACGCTTCTTCCTATCTAGTATAAAATTTATAGAATGTAGGAAAAAACGTGTCGCTGAACTATCTGATGTTTTTTTCTGTCCCTATTTTATTGTTTAAAATTTTTACTCCGTTTCGCAACAATTTTTAATTACACTCTTATAAAAAAAACATGTTTAAAAAGAAACAAACGTGTATTTTTTTGGAAGGGCCTTAAATAATAGTGGAACTAGTCCAATTGCAAAAAGATTCATTAACGAATTTTTTTTTAATCTCATTAAAATTTATTAAAAATACATAAGAGGATACAGAAAACGGGTCACGGTTCCTAGTTATATCAAATAAGTTAGCTCTATTGGTTTAATTTTATCTTAAAGTTTAATCTTATTCTGTAAAGAATATATCAGTACGAAGTAACAATTTCAAAGAGAAAAAATATTAACATAATAAAGTATCTTTAACAGAGATGACATTTGCTTAACATTTTTTAAGTATTTTTTGAAGATGTAATTAATTTCAAGGCTGTAAAATTAATAAAATTTTTAATTTATTAATATTTTAAAGGCCTCACATTTTCCTTATAAAGCAAGATTTCCTTATAAAGCATAAGGAAGATATAGAAACGGGTCACGGATCCTAGTTATGTCAAATAAGTTAGCTCTATTTGTTTGACATTTCTTAAAGCAAATTTGCTGCATCAAACTCTCAACTAATTCTTTCAAGTTATTTTTAACACCAGTTTTAGCAAATTATTAAACTAATATAGATATGATTTGTACCGAAAATCTCAATCCGTATTTACCAAGGTAATAAAAGTATAAACGGTTTCTATTCATATATAAAAACATAACGAAAATATAAAGAAAAACAAAGCAAAACGAGCAATGTATGTAATACAACACTATAATTCCTATGAGAAATAATTTTCAAATTTATGTGAGAAGCAAAACACATTTTTCTTGAGATAAAAAAAAAAATTTACAATAAAAAAAAAAAATTAAAAAAAAATATTATATTTAACATTACCCAGCTAACACACCAGCGTTGGCCCAATGTCGGCCCAATGCTTCTTGCAACGTTGGCCCAACCTTGACATCCAACGTTGGGCCGATTCCGTGATGGCCGCCGGGCCTACATTGGCCCAATAGCATTGGCCCAATGCAGTTTAGCCAGCGTTTATCCGACAAAATATTTTATTAGGCCTTATGAATTACAAACACTATTTGTGCTTAGTACGTAGTTAGTTCAGCCAGTATTAACATTAAATCTCTTAAATTCATTATTTTTTAATGTTTAACAAAGTCTATTGCAATCGGCATTGGTTATGCTTTATCACCATTTAAATTGCTTTAACAAAATGCAAACAGACTTGACCTTTAAAAGTGCGTTCCCATCAAGTGTGTATGAATTCATTTAAGGTAAATTTATTTATAATTTATTTATTAAAATGTATTTTCAACGTAAAAAATAAAACATTTAATAAAATGAAATATATATTAAAAAATATTAAAACTGGTAATTATTAGTTTTCATCGTCATCTGCATCATTTTCACCTTCTTGATCACCCAGTTGCGAATCCTCATTCCCCAAACGTTTGTTAGTTAAATTGTCAACAGTGTGGCGTTTGCGTCCCCCGGACCCATCAGACTTTTTTCTGTCGCACGAATTACGAAGCCATGTCTTTACGTAATTACTTATTTCCACTTTTGTAGCATTTTTTGTGAATGGATTGTGCTGCACTGCACCTAATCATTAAAATATATATATATATATATATATATATATATATATATATATATATATATATATATATATATATATATATATATATATATATATATATATATATATATATATTATTTAATACAACGTACACACGATTACGAGCTATAACTTTTATACAGTTATAACTTTAAAATGAAAAACTTAAAATTTAATTCGATGAACTTTAATTTGAAAGTAAATTAAGTATATATAATCATTGTTACATTCAGTTACATGTATAAATTACAAAGTAACATGTCACAAGCATGATAAACCATATATAAGTAAATTTTGTTAGGTTACACCTAAAGTGCCCTACAAACCATAACTAACAACATGCTTTAATCACCAACCGTAAATTGCAGATAAAATCTTCATGTTTTTGATCCCTTACTTTTGCCCTCCACGGCCTTCAAAGTTTAATTGTTGAGCCACTTCTGTGGCCATTAACTCAGATAGAATGTTTTTCACTGTCTCCGCAACAGTTCGCCCACCGAACTGACCAAGATGCATAACCTAAAAAGTTTTAAAATAGGCCCATAAACTATTTAATAAAAAAATGTAAAGCAAAAAATTCATATCAAAAATATAAACTAAATTATTATACCACTGCATCCATTGAAGCTTTTTCGAGTAGAATCTGCTCAAGATGTTCTAACTGTATGATGGTACGCAATGGCAATGATATATTCGCAGGTAATGTGACAGCAATATCTGATAAGCGAACAACATTCAGTATCATTTTTTGCTGCGCAAGACATGTATCTAATTTTTGCTCTATCTTTGTAAGGCGAGCACAAATTGAATGAAGTAAGGTAGGATGATCATCTTAAAAAGATTACACTTCAAATGAACAAAACTATTTAAGTTATTATCTTCACCTAATTTTATTCTACACAGCAAACATTGAATGCAGTAAGAAAAACATTGAAAACAGTTTGACAACAGAACAACATTAACAATATTTTTAATGCTAACAGTTTAATTACCTTGGTTATTGCCACTTTCTCTCTGAAATGATGTGCTAACTTTTTCGAAGGGTGCATGATCAGCTTCCCCTTGATTAAAGATTTCACAAAAACATTACACAACTTGTAAATATTTTTGCATTATAATATTTACAACTATAAAACAAACAAAAAATTAAAATACTTAACTTACCTTGGAACATTGATAAACCAGGTGATTTGCTATGCCATTTATCACTCACATTACTGGCTAAAAGAAAAGTAAACATATTTGAAATTTAAAAAGAAACAATATAGTATTTTCATATTGTAATATCTTGCAGCAACAATTTTTTGTGATTTTCTGTTGGAATAAATAAACTGCTTTCACTAGCTACTATTTTGAAGCAAAACAAGTGATTTTATAAAGCATCCACCCCCCCCCCCCAAAAAAAAAAAACAAACTCTTTAAACAAATTCTTTTTACTCAGATTAGTTTTTCCCTACTTTGCAGTTAAGAACCATTTAAACTGCATTCAAATAAATTAGGCATTTAAAATTGTGAAAAAAAAAAAAAAAAAAGATACCCGAATCCAATGTAAATTTGTCTAACTTTTCATATTTCTTTTGTTCAGTGATATTTTGTTTGCTAATTGCTAAAGTGCTGCTTTCTAACATGTCATGGATTCGGATTTTTTCAGACTTATTTCCTACAACAATTGTAAAAATTACAAAATCAAAGCAGATATTTCTTAATTATACTATAATCTACTTTTATTTATATTTAAAAGTTACACTATTATCATATTATTTACTTTATTTTATTATTTATGTTTCTTAATTAGGCTGTTATCACTCACCATGCATTTTTTTAAAAATTCCACCAGGAAAAGTAGAAGTTGTGGGCAATCTATGTTCATCATATTGCTCTTGAGACTGTTTTTCAATTTCCGATAGATAATCAAGATTATCTACATTAGAATAGTGTTTTCTTTTTGTATTTTGCTTATGATTGGCTTTCTCATAATCAGATTCCAAGTTAGATTGGTATTCTGCGGTTTTTGAGTGCTTTCGGGCTGCTTCTAAAGTGCCTAAACAGTAAAAAGGAATAAAAAAAAAGGAATAGAAATTTTTTGTTTTTTTAAATTTAAGTTTGGCTATTCAACAGAAACTAATTTTTGGAGGTCAAAAAATAAATGTAGACCTACCAGGCATTGAGTAACTATTCTATATATACACCCTGAAATACTAATATATAAAAACTAATTTAACCATTTATTTAAAAATACAAAAATGAATAAAGTTTAATAATTTTTAAAGTTTAATAAATTCAATATGTATACAGTATATCGATATACCTTATGTATATGAATAGTGGATTATGTAATGAAGAGGTTATGTAATGAAGTGGTTATGTATATGAAGAGTGGGTATGCAGTATATCAATATCCTTTACCCATTTTTGTTTTAAAAAAAAAAGAGTTGTATTTTAATATTACCATACTGCTGGAGCACTCGCAAGCGACAAAGTTTCCACACTCCTACAACTAGTTCAGTTGCATTTTTAATAGCATTTTTTATCTGTCCAGTTGATCTGAAAAGTGGCCAGTATCCGAACTTGTTCCCCTCTTGCAGCCAAGATTTAGGAATTGCTTCAACAGAATTATCATTTTCATCTTCAAAATGAACAACAACATAATTTGCCATTCTAATGAAGTTTCTAATAATTCTATAAACACATTTTCATATAAAAATTTAAACATTACAAATACACATTACTGCAAACGTAGAGGTATTTATAGAAAACAAAATTGTCTTGAAAATCAAAAACAGTTTATGATTTTCTGTGTCAACAAATTTAAAATTTGTATTAAGGTAATGTATATCAAGAATATTAATGTCATTTTAAAAATTCATGAATGTTTTTGATACACATTACCTAATATAAATTTAAAAACAAATCATAAAAGCAATTAAACAAAAAATTTTCTTTTGAAAAACTATTTACAATCAATTGGGAAAATTACAAACTCATTGTTACCAACTGTTGGTAGACAAAGACACTTTTTAGAAATATCATAAGCAGGCAAAACAATTAGAGGAGACACTCTATTAGTAACTCTATATATTCCAAGTTCACTTGAGTTTAATGGATAATCAAAAAATTCTGACAATTGCAAATATTTTTGACAAATTACAAATATAGTGCCATTTTGATTAATTATGTTTTTCAATATGCAGAAATCACCGCCACTAGTAAGAAAATGATTATTAGAGTTTTTTGATGACAAAGAGAGACAATAATTTCCTATATTTAACTTCCTATATTGTTCAACATCTGAAAATGTTAACAAAGAACCACAACAATGAATACTTTTTGGTACAAGAAGGGGTAAACTGTTCAAAATATCAAGCTTTGCTTTTCTGTTATGTGTATTAAGTTTTTCTGTAAGACGGCTGCATATTTGTTGCAAAATATTTTGTGGTTTTCTTACTAATTTTTTAAAACACCAAGTTGATTTTCATAAGGAAAGCAACTAAAGTCATCTAATGACCCTAACAGTTTTACATCAGCAGAAATGTGAACCAGATTGTGTATGTTATATACCATTGCTTCTTTTCCATAAAGTAATTTCATTTTCTCTACAAATCTAATAAGGAGACTATTTGAATAATCACATAAATTATTTGTTATTTCTTTAGTGGATAATATTTTAATAGCTACTAACAAAAGTAGAAAATGTTAATATAGTTTGTTGCTTAAAATGCCTTGCAACACTACAGGGCCTTTATATAACAGAAATTGTCTAAACTCTGTAGCTTTCCATCTTAATATTTCGGACAATGATCTTGGTTTGTGGGCAAACTCACTAGGAATAAACGGAATAAAGGCAATCAATTTTTCTGACAATTCCAGTACACCTCGTGTCCCCAAACGCACTGCATAAGGTCCTACAGGACCTTTCCAGTATAGGATCAATCTTTTTGTAACACCCAAACAAATCAGATGCATATAGTCAAGAGCAAATCTTGAAACCATACCAAAACCAAGATCGCATAAAGGACTTCGACTACCAGTGTGATGTTTTTCATCTTCCATTTCATCAAAAGAATTATCTGTTCTTAAAGGTGAATTAGTTTTAGGGAAAATAACTTTACCACAATACTTTCCTACTTGAGTGCACTTCTCACATGAGCTATAACCAGAATGGCATTTAATGTTCTTCAAAAAAAGCTCTTGCAGGTGCATCACATACAAAAGAATGAATTGAAAAAGAGTACAAAATATTTTTAATATTTAGACCATTTGAGAGCAAGTCTTTTAGCTCCATCACGAACTCAGAAAGAAACTCCTCAAGACTTTTTGGTTTGCCTTTTCCACAAAACATACCTACCACAAATGGAGGTGAGGGAAAATGTAAAATCATGCATAAGATTGGCCATAAAAAAATACCAGAACTTTTGAAAAGCGGCAACCCATCAACATTAAATTGTAGAACAAGAGAAGTTTTATTTATTTGTATTTGTTTTAGGATTATATTTGTTAAACCAGTTTTTAAACCTAAATGACAATACTCCCCGCCACTATCTAATAGATTAACAATAGTATTTCGTGGTGTCTTTAAAAGTGTGCGAGGATCCATAGGCAAGTAAGGAAAATGTGGTTTCAAAACAGTTAATAAGTTACACAAAGAAGCTTGAGGAATGCTACAACTAATAGCCCAATGAGCCAACTCATTATTAAAATTAATATTGCTGTCATTATCATTATAATCAGACTCATCAGAAGACTGATCAGGAACATTATTTGAACAAACAAGCATATTTTCTTCAGCAAACATAATCTTGTTTATTTCATCTTCATCAATATTGACAGAGTCTATTTGCTCAATATAGCAATCTTTATCCGATATTACAGCTTTAATAGAAGAAGTCGAAATGTTTTTGCTATTTTCAAGATCAGAAACATAATCAACCATATTAATATCAACTATGTTATCACAATCAGACACCCCAAGAAAAGTATTACCAACATTTCTGTCGAAACGTAATGAAGTTTCAGTATATTTTTCAAAATCCACAGCATAAATATTGGATTGAGGCTGCTGTAAGTGTAGCTGAATATTATTTTGTACACGACGCCTTAATGTTCTGGCAGAGCACTCAGAAGTTTCTTTTATTTTTTTATTCATATCTGTACTGAAAATTTATGTTATAAAATATTATAAAAAGATATATATACATACATACATATATATATATATATATATATATATATATATATATATATATATATATATATATATATATATAATATATATGTTCTGTGTATATATATATATATATATACACAGAACATATTTTCAATATTTATATTATGTAAAATAAATATTTATATATATAACAAAATAAAAAAAAAAATCAGGAATATAAACAATAATATTAACATTATAAATTTTATCAGAACCTTTAAGAACATTAGTTGTATCACGATTTCTATCAAACTTATTAAAATTTAATTTTTTTTTTCCAAAACCCATAATATAGATATTGTATTGAAGCCTTTGAATGTGTAGCTGCACATTTCTATCCACGCGATGCTATAATATCCCTGCAGAGAACTAAAAAGTTCATTTGCTTTTCATAAAGATTTACAACGATACTATTATAAAAAGCAATCTATTTTAAAATGGAGAATAAAATGCTTTATAAAAATGCTTTGTGCGAATAGTTCGACAAGCCGCAAAAGTAGATTTTTGAAAGTAAATTGGCCCAACGTAGGGCCAACGCGGTGAAAATCTTCGTAGAATTTCATCGCGTTGGCACTTCGTCGGCTCAACGTTAGTCATCCGATCCAACGTTAAACCAACATCGGCCCAATTAAGCATGTGTTAGCTGGGTAAAAAGTATTGGAAGTATTTTATAAAATCAAATGGAATTGTTTTTTTATTGTATAGCTTTTAGTAAATGGTATAAAAATTAACAAAACTTCCTTTTGGCTTTTAGAAAACGATCAACAATAAGATAAGGAATTCAACATAAAAATGTAATAAAATTATTGAAAACACTTATTACACATTAATGTATACGTACTCAGTTAATTTAAATAAAAACTCAAAAATGTGATAACAAATAACAAACTTACTTTGAGAGATTTTTTTGTGTGCGTATTTTTGTGAAAAATTTCAAGATTTATTGTTGCAAGTTTGGACTATAAACTCTTTTTAAAAAAAGCAACGCTAAAAATAATCAAAAAAAGATAAATCTTTACATTTTAATATAAAAATTGAATTCTTGGCTTTTAGTGAATGATTATATATAAACAGTTTCAGTAATGAAACAATCCAACAACCATTTTTAACGATAGACACCGACGTGAAGGTAAGCCAAGTCGTCTATCAACACAAAACATCACAACAATAACATCACACGATTAACAAATAGCACAAAACGTTACAGTAAACACTCAATAACTGAAACCACCAAGGGACCAAGAAATTAGCTTATTAGAAAATGTTTAGGATTATTGAAAGCATACTCCATAAACAATTGGATCAATTGGAATTTCAAAATTAATTCAAGTTATTAAGGGTTATTGAGTTATCCAGATTTTATTGAAATTTTTTTATTTAACAGCATAACATACTTATAAGTACACATTTTGTGATTACAAACAAACTTTATTATGTGTTTCATGTCAGTACACCGCTTGGCTAGCAAGGACAACACTCTTGCCATAAACAAAGCCAAGTCACAATATTCAAAGTACACCGCTTGGCTAGCAAGGACAACACCCTTGCTGTAAACAAAGCCAAGTCACACCACTTTGAAACCATGGAAACAACATAATAAATACTTTTAAACTATAAAAGCATAAAATTATAACACATAATACACTTCATATATAACAGTGATTTACACATTTATTAAACATAAATACTTACAAAATATAACCTTAACACATATATAAATACATAATAAAAAACACACAATACTGTATTAAATAATACATAAAGCATAGTATTATTATCATAATTTATCATAATTAAGTTATCATACTTATCATAAGATTGTTACCATAATTTGCTTATGATAACATCAAATCACCGCTTATGATGTCTGCAGATAATTGATATTTGCTCATATCATATTCAACAGCATCATCGTCCTCATTTTCATTTGGTTTCTAATAAGAAACTATATATAAAGCATTATTTTTTTTTTTTAATGCTAAGAAGCCTGCCATAGTACATATCTTGGCTTTTAGTGTCAGCATCATACCACATGTGGCATATACTTCTTCCAACAACATCTCCATTGAGAATGTCTTCAATATCTGCAGCTTCATTATTTTCTAGATCTGGGAAGAGTTGTTTTACCTGTAGAGGTACGCATTTTTTAAATATTCTTTCAACTTTTCTTCTTTCTTTCTCCTCCTTATTTTGAATCTTTTTAGCCATGCGTTTAATCAATTCTGCCTTCATTTCTTCATGACATTACATGTTTGCTAAGCGCTTTTTACCGGCTGAAGAAATAGACCAGGCTATCAAGTTATTTCGTATATCAGTAGGTTTTTCAGAAAGAAAATCAGCTGTCTTATTCTTGCATGCGCGAATTTTCGAAGACAAATAACAAAGTGTGGCATTAGGAGCTTTTTGCTTTGCAGCACTAAACATACCCATAAGTTCTTCATAGTCAATATTATGTGGACGTGCTGATAATGTCTGGGACTTGAGTTGGTCAGTTAAAGTCATAGTAAACTGCCGCTCATACTGGCGGTTAATAACACTAATGACAGCATTTAGACAGCTGGCTAATGCATCTCTCATTTCATCAGTCCTTGGGCAAAAGCCTATGAGTGATTGAAAAACTGGATCATTGAGATCACCTCCAAAAAAATCTGTTTTTCGGTGAATAAGGGAAAGAGCTTCTGCGCTGCTTTCAACAAGTGCATTGCAAACATTTTCGATCACTTGGATGTCAGACAAATAGTCAAGTCCTTGTCCTAGCGCAACATAGAATTTTTTCATCCAGGGACCAGTCACTAACTTTCCAATTAAACCTAGGGCACACATGTCGCGTATACCTAAAATTAAATAAAATATACTATAAAAAAATAAGAAACAAACATTTTCATTATTAATCTATCGTAACATCTAACCTGTATCAGATGTGAAGTCTTGGAAAAGACTATTTCTCAGTCCTCCACATAACACTACTCCAGAAAACAGAAAACTCTGAAGTTTCTGTTAGTGATGTATTAAAGTTCCACATGTATGAAAAAGTATGTGCAATCGATTTCCCCTATAGCGTGGTATAAGTCCTCTAGGAAGACCAATTCAAAATAACAACTTGAAATAAAATAAATTTAAAATATTAAGATGACATCATTATAGTAAAAATATGATAAGAATTTATCATATTTATTTACCTTTAACATCCTTGTAATGGAGTTTATTTAACTGAACAACAATGTTTGCTGCAAAACAATCTCTACCAAAAAGGTAGAGAAGTTTCCAAAGCTTTAGGCGATGACTTGCAAGCAGAAGTAATTGTATCCAATGGGTGAAGGTGACAGTTCAGTTCATTTAGAGATTTTTGCCAAAAAGTGTTTAACTTTGTTATAGTTGCATGGTTCACTGCCACTCTGTCACTCATTGTGTTTGTTATGTTACTGATAATTGTGCTTTGTACATCAGTATATTGTTTCCGGTAAAAGTCACTATACAACTTAGCAAGATTATCCACAGACTTTGTAATATGACTCATATAGTCATAAGATGTACCACCAGCAAGCTGGTCAATGGCTACAACCATGCACGAAGATTCTTTTGTTAAGTGCACAACATTGACATGAACACCCTCCTGGGTTGTGGCATCAAAACCAAGAGTCAAATTTTTTGTTGAGAATGCTATCTCAGCAGCCTGGAGTTCTGAAATAATACCCCAGCTCGCGCATCATCTGCTCCACAGTTTTGCGATGTGGAATGTCACTAAATCTATACCCAAAGTGTTCTCCTACTTTATGAAGAAGTTGGGTCACACTGTGTGTAGGAACTTGACATGCTAGCATGTCATAGATAAGTGCCCTAATATCAGATGAGTAGACTTTTTTACATCTGGTGCTTTGTACTTTCTGCTGCATTTGCTCTATCTTTTCCTGTAAAATAAGCATATCATTTTGCAGGACACTAATTTCTACATTCTTGTCAGCAAGTTGTTGACGTAAAGATAACTTCTTCAGTAGACAGCTTTGTTTGGGTGAATTGCAGTTCTTTTTTCAAACAAAAATTTGAAATTTGAAGCTTATTCAGCTGTAAGTTTAGACGTTGGACTTTTAATTTATTCAGCAAACTTTGAAATGTCTTTTCTTTGCGAGCAATAGTCTCATTGATATGTTTAAATCTTGGCCTTGTTTTAATTTTTTCTTTCAACACCTTTACATCCTCTCTATGCTTTCAATTTTTGGTAGCAATTTCAGTAGCAAAAACACTTAATCTACGTTTTAAGAGCTTTTTTCTTGGAGTCAACTGGTCAGCTCTTAACATGGATAACAAAGGACTTTTTTTATTAGGTAAAGACAAAATACTTTTATGTTTAGGAGATGAGGCAACTGACAAATACGAAAGAGTTTTACTTGAACTTGGACTTGACTGAAATGAATCTGTTGCTGGAAATGTTGCTGCTTGACAAATAAAAGGCT